TTGAAAATGACCTTTTTGTATTTCTTCTCTGCTTTCACTCATTTTTGAAAGGAATTTAATACTCTATAGAGTGTTGTATTCATAAAATGCTAGACTACAAGTACCAATTTACAGAGTGTAATATTATTGTGTTTTGGGGAAGTTATATATTTTTTTTCACCTGTGCAATACTTTTGTCATATACTGTAAGCTAGCTTACAGTTCACGTGATGGAATCAATATTGCATTTCTTATCTTCTTGAAGATTGAAATATAAAATCTATATGCTAAGAGTCTGTGATTATATATGTCGTGCTATTGGCTGTTTTCTCTAGTGCCCTTCACACTTAGCATATCTATGATTTTCTCCAGCCCTTTGTTTCCACCTAATCGGGCGATCTCATTCCGGATCTGCAACTCCAGAGAATTCAGCACGCGAAGGGTATAATCGAACGATTTTGTCTCTGTCTTGAGGTAGTCGACTGTATATCGTTTAAGTGTCGGAGTTGAGGGTCGCTTTTGTAAGACGTCTAGAAAAATGCCGTCAAGCCAGGAAGAAAGGGGGGAAATTAGTCAAACGATTTCTTACTCAAGACTTGTCGATTCGACGTGTCAGCGCGAACACCGTGGACAATGGGAAAAGAGAATTTCCCCTCCGTAAGATCTTCTGCAAAGCCTTTATTCGTCTCATACTATTGGGTTTTAGTGAGGTATAGTGGAAATCACGAAAGACTGTAAATACCTCTTTGCTCACCAGGTTGGAGTAGTCGTCTCGGATCTGGTAAAAGACGCCGATAAGGTTGACTAGAGGAATGTAGTCGCTACAGTGATAAAAATCAGTAGTCTTCAGGGAGGAGCTATAATTCACGAACATGTCACGGCTTGCAGCTGCACAAGTCATCAATAATTTTATTCCTATTCGCAATAGTCCACCGGTCTCTAAAGAAATTTTTGGTCAGCACATCTTGGTCAAGGGCGTGAAATGAAGAGGGGAAAACAGTTCCTGATAAGAGCAGAAAGTTCCAAAGACAAAGTATAGGAGAGAATGGAATGTTAGCACTCAACTATCATTCACCATTCCGATGTACTCTTCCTCTGTGGGACACTGCAAGGAGTCTCTCCACAGGAGCTCAAGACCTTGACCACGATGAAGATTCAGAAGTTCCTCTCAACAAAAATTATCAGCGTCGACTGGTTATAAATGTACGAATAGCATTTACCAGTAACTATCTCATCGACCTTTGACGTCTCTAAGTCGCGCAATCGGAAAAGCTCTTGATACGCTTGGAAATAAACGTAGTTGGCGCAATTGATGGTCTGCGGAACGCCATATATCTTATGTGCAACTGGATGGACATCAGAATACGGAAATGAAGGAAGATAGGAAGTACCCACCCGGCGTGCCACGCCGCAATTGCGCGTCGTCTTCAATATCGTCAACGCTGAATATTCCACCGTATCAGCGAAAACAGACCAAATTGCAAAGGCAATAGTCATTCACAGCAGACTCGCGGAATGTAACATGCTGACGACCTTTGAAATGGTCGTAAGCTTCTCTTCAGGCACCTCGAGCCATGTATTGAATGCCTCGATCAATCGACCGCGTATCTCTTTACCAGGTTTCGACGTGATGTATGTGAAGGGTTCGGTAAGAGCCTTTAAATGCGAAAAAAAAAGAATACAGTAAGTATCGAAAATTCGTTTTAGTAGCTCAACACAAGCGCACCATTTCATTCTCAACCGTCCACTTCGATGACTGCCCGAGTTTTTGAACCATGTTGTCGTACTGGGCGACACCTGCGGTTGTTGACGAGTTCGACATGGCGGATTTCAACGTTCTATTTTTTAGTTTGAGTGAATAGTACTTAGTTCAAGCTATGATATCATTCAATTCAGAATGAAATAACAGACACTGGTATGTGAATCCGGAGGTTGAGGGATAAAGGTAACTTCAGTGACTGCGTGTTCAGTCTTCAGTACTATTTTTGTACCTCGGTTTGTTAGGTAAGTATATATCACGTGATTTTATTTACCATGTGATTTTGGTAGTTTGCTCGACCTTCTTCCTACGCTCACTGCCTTGGCCCAGGACAAAGCGCATCTATCACACACTGATTGCGTTCTTTCAGTTGGATGAACCTTCTGGGAGTATAGTCTTTTGGTCTATCGAACAGAAAAACTTCACCAGCACGTGCTATATCTGACTGACTTGATGAACTCGACTGAACAAACCGACTTTGCAACTGTCGCCACTGCACGCATCTTTAGAGATTCATTCTGCATGTAAATGCTTTATTAATATTAATGGGTAAGACTCCGCAACATTTCTCTGGAGCTATCAACTACTAGATGGAAGGCATCGTCGTCTTTTCCTCGATGTCGTCTGCTTTTATGACGCCACGCGTTGGGCTTAAAAGCACTCTAATACTCGCGATATATCTTACGCATTTTTATCTGCACATGTGGACTTAACACCATCTTGCGGAAACGTCGACGCTTTCTTAGGATCCTGTATAGCCTTGTTGAGGTTCTGCTTCGCTGCCTTCCACTCATCTTTCAGCCACCAAGAGTCACCCAGCTTGACTATCGGATCAATATCGAACTTCTTGAACCACTTTAACGGGCTGTTAGCACCAGACACCACGATTTTGAAGCGCATATAGGAGCTTACCTCATGACTTAGAGCCTTCATCGCATCTGGCCTGTCGTCAGGGTTCTTCAATAACAGATATTTAGTGAACGCCAGAGCTGATGGGAAACTAGCGTTGGTCAACTCGACGTTATAATAAACAACACCAACCTTCCCGAGAATAATTACCGAACGCGGCGGGATCATAAAATGGCTCTTCGTTCTGGATCCTATCTAACATTGCTACGTCCCGCAGACCCTCTCCAGGACGACGAGGAAATGCTTGTTTGCCCGTGAGCATCTCGTACGTCGCTGACCTGTAGAGACAGTCGGAAGGTGAGCTCTATTACTGCTATATGCACGCACGCATGGAAGATGACTCACCCAAGCGTGAACATATCTGCTTTTTCAGTTATCGGGTTGGACAGATGACCCTCAGGGCTGCGATATTCGAACGATCCACGTGAAATTGATGTTCTATCAGGGCCTTCCAAACGTCCAGCACTACGCATGTACTGCATTTACAGCCATATCGTTAGTTGAGTGATGTGATACAGACTTACGATCCAAAATCAACGAGTTTGACTCGACTTCCTTCCTTGTCTGTGCGCACCGTGTTGGCTGGCCTAGACGTCATTTACTGTCAGCAAAGGAACATTCCTTTTGAATATTTCCGATGCCACTTACTTAATGTCCCTGTGAATAACATCCGCGGAGTGGATGAAAACAAGCGCAACTAGCACGTCTCTGTTGACGCTATCCGTAAGCAGCAGTTGCAATGCTCAAGGATTAACTACCCACCTTATCCATCCCGCTACATTTCTTTCTTTCTCTTCGCTAGGAGGTGCGTGGACCACATAGTCTTGAATGTCACCACCTTCAAGGTACTCAAGTATCAAACTAGGGACTTCATTAATAGTTTGCTTCCGATGAAATTTCATCTATAGTGCAAAGTTATGGTCGTGAATGTGAGTATCTCCCAGACATTATGTAAAGACATGAACGATTTACGATGAATTCGAACGCCGAATCGTTCAACCTCTGTTTCAAGATCTCGAGAGCTTTCCATTCATTCTCTTGTGCCGAGCGATGGGCCCATTCTGGTTTATCTTGCTTTACAGCAACTTTCTCACGAGGTTCACCATCGACGATCTTTCTGTAAACCTTCAAGAACGTTGAGAAGTACACGATATAGGTATCTAACTGGAGATTTACATGAACGTCGGATAGAAAGCCTGTCCCAGCTTTATCCAATCTTTCGTACTTGACATTCTCGGATCCAGAACGATCGCTCGCTGTGCTACTTGCTCGACTTTCCCATCCAGTGCTGTGGCTGTGGCTGTTATGTGCCTCCGACAAGCTTTCAGATGTCGTGGCGCTTCGCTTAGTACCGCGGCTTGTATTTTCCGATCTCGCTGGCATTGCGCAGGAGTACTTTGGGTGAGGGGAATACTTATGTGCAAGGTAATGCTCACGACATCGGACATGGATCAATCAGGCATGGTACTTAATAACTTTGCGTAGGAAGCTGACGGGTATAGATATGTCGACAAGCAAAGTCAACTGCAAGGTTAGACTGCATGTTGTCAAATGGATTAGATTGTTGATGTTGAATTTTTCCTGTATTATCTAGCATTACTAGCTCATTGTGGCACCCAGTTATACTACTGATGTCAGATTGCGTATATTTGCAGGGGAGGATCCGTGTCAGGCATATCGTGTGTAGGAGGGCCTGTCTCGGGCGTCTTTAGTGCAGATAGCGACGAATCGACCCTGCATGAACCATCTTACACCCCACTGCAGTTCTCGAACTCGATGTGGCGGCAGATTCACCTTTGTAGATCAGGGAATAATATAGAGCTGCAACGAAGACTTACGGAACCATCTTGCACTGCATGAAGTGGATATGTCAGGGACAGGGCACCTCAGGATGTCATAAACGTAAAACTTTGTTTGTTCGCCAGGCATCACTATGGTACGAGAAGGAAAGGTCTGTGCGAGGTGCAGTAATCACGAAGGCATCAAAGTGTTTTTTGTGGGGTTCTCACTGCATATTATATTGATGAGTTATTAATATTAATAGACAAGACACTCGGTGCGACTGTCGACTATTGAATGCATGGCTCATTGCCTTATTGTTCTCCGTATCTCGACAATCACAACGTCCCTAGCGCGTTTTCATCGCTCCGGCAGATGTCTCGCCATTCTGCAGAGATATCGTCCCCATGATTGCTGTTTATCCAACCGTGTTGACGTTCTGCTTTACCGCCTTCCAGTCATCCTTCAACCACCAAGAGTCACCCGGTTTGACTATCGGATCGATATCGAATTTCTTGAACCACTTAACGTTCTGTTAATGCGAGGTATCACAGCTTGACGGGCATATAGGAGCTTACCTCGTGACGTAGAGCCGTCATCGCGTCCGGTCTGAGGGCAGGATTCTTCGTTAATAGGCATCTTATGAATAATAAGGCTGGTGGCAATTAGTGTTCGTCAACTTGGCATCATAATGAATAGCACTAACCTTCTCGTGAGTAATTGCTGAATACTACAGGATCGTAATCGGGTTCTTCGTTCTGGATCCTATCCAGCATGGCTACGTCTCGTAGATCTTCTCCAGGGTGACGAGGGAATGCTTGCTTGCCTATGAGAATCTCGTATGTCGCTAATCTATACAAGCGACGTAAGTAAACTCCATTTGGACTTGAAGGTTGCAAAAATTAAGATGATTAACCCCAATGTGAACATATCAGCTTTTTCAGTTATCGGATTAGACAAGTGACCTTCAGGACTGCGGTATTCGAAAGATCCACGGGAGGTCGAGGTTCTGTTCGGCCCCTCTAAACGGCCAGCGCTGCACACGTACCGCGTGTGTAGTCAGATACCCCGAGTTAAAAATTATGGCCCGGACTTACGATCCAAAATCAACGAGTTTGACCCGACTTCCCTCCCTGTCTTTGCGGACAATGTTGGCTGGCCTAAATGTGATTGCCAACAATGGGATATCGCATTCGAATTTTCCAATGTTACTTACTTTACGTCTCTGTGGATAATATCGGCCGAGTGAAGGAAGACAAGTGCGACAAGCGTGTCTCTGGAAGCGCCACAGGTTCTAGTAAGCAACGAGATCATCGCTCCAGGATTAATATAGGGCTACTGACCTAATCCACTTTACTACTTTCCTTTCTTTCTCTGTACCAGGGGGTTCGCTGGGAGCATACTCCTCAAGATCACCTCCTTCGAGATACTCAAGTATCAGACTTGGAACTTCATCAATAGTTTGCTTCCGATGAAACCTCACCTATTACGCAAAGTTATGATTGTAAGTATGAATATCCCCATAGGTCAAATGCGTATTCATGAACGACTTACGATGAACTCAAATGCAGGATCATTCAATCTCTGCTTCAGTGTCTCGAGGATCAGCCGTTCGTTCTCTTGTGCTGAGAAATGAACCCATTCTGGTTTGTCTTGTTTTACAGCAACTTTTCCACGGGATTTGTCGTTGACAGTCTTCTTATAAACCTTTTAGATAATTCACGTCTTTCAGGAACATATAAATTACAGTGTACGACTACCAGGGACTTACATATACCTCAGAGAGGAATCCAGTCCCAGCTTTCCCCACTTTTTCGAACTTGATTTTCTCAGATCCAGAACGATCAGTTGTTGACGTACTCGTTCGACTTCTCGCTCCTGAGCTATGGCTGTGTTTGGAATACTCTCTTATCGAGCTATTAGAGGTATTTGTACTTCGCTTGGGAGCCCGGCTCCTTTTCGTTTTATCTGCCATTGTACGAGAGTACTGAGGAAAGTAAGTATGTGTGAAGGTTCTCATGATATTGGACAGGGTTTAAATAGATCTGGAATTAGATCATTTTACATTGTAAGCTGATGCATATTTTAGTCGTTAGTACATGCGAATATGACTGCGATGTAGGCGGTAAGTCGTAATATGGAATGGTTTGCCGGAATCGGACAAGGCTTACTCAGTCATGACGCTAATAACTTTGCGTAGGAAGCTGATGTATACAGTTGTAAGCATATGCAAAGATAACTGCAATGTAGGCGATAAGCTCTAATATGGAATGGTTCATTGGAATCAGAGGAGCCTTATTCAGTTATGCTGCTAGATAACTTTGCGTAGGAAGTCAATATAAGCGGTTGTTAGTGTCTGTCAAGACTGCTGCATTATAGGCGCCTTGTAGTAATATGGAACAGCTCCATGATAAGGAAGGATTACAATGTTTAGGCAGTTGTGGCACAACTTGTACTGTCCCCATAGAATCCTCGAGAACAAAGTAACTATGATACGCATGATAAGTAGTTTACTCAGTTGTGTGAGCAATAGGACAAGCCAGCGTCATGTTCATATCAGAGGATAAGTTACTAAATCCTATGAAATAGTACGACTAGGTGAACAATATACACCACGGCTTTGATGTCGGAAACAGGCACTGAGGATGACACAAATACCTAACGTAGGGATATAGCCATGCAAGGCATGGCACGGGTTACGACAACGTAAAAAGAGAATGATTATATAAGAGTAGGATGTATTCAGAGAGTGTGAGAAATTACCAAAACTAGATAAATAGCTACACACCATGCTCCTTTAATAAGACTAGACAGTCAATTTGTGATCAAACTGACTAAGCAGTTTTGTATCAGTGACATTAGCAAATAACAGAAAATAAATTCATCAGACAGATTTAATATAACAAAAAGTCTTAAAGATCATAAGGAAAGAAAATGTTAGACTTTATTTTTAGAGCATTTACCAAGAAGCAAGAAAAATAAATTAAGATACACAAATGAAGTTTGTGACATGACTGTCTAGTGGCAGAGATGTGGCAGAGAAAAGCTCTGTTGGACCCCCCCCCCCCTAGGAAGAAACTGTGGGAGAAAGTTGATTTTTATATTGAAAAAAAGTCACAACTGAATTGCATCAGTATGACTTGTACCTGGTGCCTACAAAACAAGAGGCAACAACCCTTTCCTTTGACCTTCATGTTGTGGTAATTTCCCACAGTATAGAGTAGGGGGGGTCTGCACCCACAATGTGTTGGTCAACACAGTCCTAGTAATGCCTAGTTATAGGCAGCACACTCACTGGCTGTACTGACTTTCAGTACTAGTCTACCCCTTTGACAGACACCCAATTGACTTCAATTGTGGCTAATGTCTGTTAATGTCCTACATACACACCTTTTTTTTTCTTTCAAGTACTTACATACTCTTTGTGTTCCAGACTTTCTCTAGGAAGGAGGATTGTCTTGTGTATAGAGTAATGCTTATAGGCTAAAGACTTTGAGATGTACCCTCAGTGTAGGCTGGGGGCTGGGACAGTACAGTTGAATCTTACAAGACTCCTGGCCAGGCTGGCTGTACCCCTTCCTGGGCTGGGTTCTCTTAGACTTGATACAATACAAGTAACCTCCCATACATATTTCCCTCTATACCCCTGTTCCTCTTACTTTTATTATTATTGTGTACACTGGGTGGATGTAGTTTTTCATAGTGTGCTCCACCAATATGACAACAAATTGTGCAATAACTCTTGAATACATAATTGAATTCTCTCAGTTATCTTTGTACATGTTAAAACTTTTTAGAAGACAACTTTATATCTATAACATCACAAAAAAGTCGCAACAAATGTATTTAATAATAGCAAAAGTAATCTAATGAAATGATTTCATAAGCATTACATTCTAAAATAATACTTGTATTTTACTTGTAATGTAATTATAATGATTGTATATAAATGTAAGAAATATACAAAGTTTCTATTAAACTACAAA